ACTCACTACCCTTGTCTCTCCTTCAGGGATTTAGCTGCACTAGTGGAGATTACATTTGGAATTCTGTCATGGGGAAGGGATGGGGTAGATGGTTTCTGTTCTCATTATTTGTGAGATTCACCCACATTGTCTTATGCAACCACAGTTTGTTCTTTTCAATTGCTGTATAATAGGAAAATGTGTGTGTGTGTATGTGTGTGTGAGAGAGAGAGAGAGAGAAAGAGAGAGAATTGATTAATTTCAGGAATGAACATGAAATCCACCCCCAAGCAAGCTTTTTTTAACCACAGTAATTAAAGTAAGTATCTACATTGACAAAGATACACATACACAGATATTTTGTCCTAAAAGGGAAGGAGGAACAGTTTGTACCAGACGAGGGTGGTTCACTCAGTTTCCGTACTTGTGGAAACAGACTGAGCATCTTCACAGACTGGGCTGGACCACGTCCCGTACCCACTTGCTGTTGTTAACCCTCCTCTCGCTTCAGAAATGTTACGTGAGAAAAATTCAGGCTGTGCAACCAAACAGTCCTGATAAAAAGTCACTGCTTAAAGGAATTTCATTACTTGCAGTTTTAAAATAGAAAAACAGATAATGTCGTTGGTATCTTTAAAAATCTTACTTAGTGTAGCTACACGAAGTAGGTACCATGAACTGGCAATGCCCAGCCCAGAGCAAGAATGCGGGCCTCCCCACATGATATTTCGTAGCCTGTGGCCACTGCCTGCCCACCTGGCCCATCCCTCCACCTGGCTGCAGGCACACGGACTCCTCTGTGTGCCAATGACAACAATGGTGTCTCAGACGTTTGGGGTGTTTCCCTTGAAGCCTGTGGACTGCTCCCTAAATGATTCTAGGAGGGAGTCTTTCTTTTCACATATTGGTTTTCTTTCCAAAAGTAATGTGTTCATTGTAGAAACTTTAGTAAGTATAGATAAACGAATCAAGACAAAACTCACTCAGAATCTGATCAAAATTATGTTTTAGTTTAGTTATAGTTCACTGTGCTGACAACATTTGATTGAACTATTTCCTTGTTGGACTTTTAGGCTCTTGTCATTTTTCTTTGTATAAATAATACTCCCCAAATTACCCCTGGAAACTGAACAACCTTGATTATTCTCTTCAAATAAATATCTAAAAGTAAAAATACTACCCTGGCTGGTTTGGCTCAGCAGGGGTAGAGTGTCAGCCCAAGGGTTTGATTCCTGGTCAAGGTCATGTGCCTGGGTTTTAGGTTCGACTCCTGGCCCTGGTCAGGGTCATTCAGGAGGCAACCAATGGATGTGTCTCTCTCACATCAATGTCTCTCTCTCTCTCTCTCTCTCTCTCTCTCTCTCTCTCTCTCTCTTCCTCCCTCCCTCCCTCCCCTGCACTCTATCTAAAAAAATCAATGGAAAAATATCCTCTAGTGACGATTAACAAAAAAATAAAAATAAAAATTGAAAGTAAAAATAATGACTTAAAAGATATGCAGACTTTATAGATTGTTGCTTTTCTCACGCACAGGTAAGAGACAAATCGTAATGAAGGTAACGTCCAATCAATTTTCTTAGATTTCAATTCAAGAGATTTCCTTTATATGGGCACTCATATGTAAATTTGGCAACCATGGTAAATTTGGTTACCATTTCCTGTGACCCATGGATTGAAGTATCTAACCTTGAGGCTCTGTGTGTTATTTAGGTGATTCAGATTCTGCAGCATTTTTTAAAACATGTTTTATTGATTTTTTAGAAAGAGAGAGGAAGGGAGTTAGAAACATCAATGTAAGAAAAAAACATTGATCAGCTGCCTCCTGCACACCCCCCACCAGGGATCGAGCCCACAACCTGGGCATGTGCCCTGACCGGGACTTCTCAATCCGTGGGATGACGCTCAATCCACTGAGCCACACCGACCAGGCGGCATTATTTTTAATCCTCATCCGAGGATATTTTTTCATTGCTTTTTTAGAGAGAGGGAAAGGGAAGGCGGTAGAAGGAGGAGAGAGAGGGAGAAACATCGATGTGAGAGAGATCCATCAATTGGTTGCCTGCCAAATGACCCCCACTGCGGCTGAGGATCGAACCTGCAACCCAGGTGCATGCCCTTGACTGGAAATTGAACCCATGACCCTTCAGTCCGCGGGCCACACTGGCCAGGGCATGTTTACTGTGTTATGTTGCCAGGAGATAATGAGCTATTTCAGTATCCCTGAGGGAATGTCCAGCCAAATTGAGAGGTTTAGAGTATTGCAAATCCAGGAGAGCCGGCAACTCAGATAAGCTATTTGCTCTGGGCAATGGCAATGTCTATTATTAAAGAATTTACAAACAGGGGAAAGGGAATCACTCAAATTTGGGCGCCGGCATAGGGATGACTGAGGGTCACAGGAGGCTGTCAAAGCCCCTTGGATGGATGAAGAGCCTGAGACCTTCTCAAGGGGCTAAGACCCCAGCACCTGGGCAGGGGCGGAGAGGTAGAGAGACCAACAAGAGGAGCTGAACAGCCTGGGTTGTCACATTAGACCTGGATTTGGACCTGGATGGGGGGGGGAGTCATTATTTTTATTAACCTCTAATAAACATTTAATATTTCCTTTATTATGACTGCATGCAACAACTCACAGTGGTATCAGCAATACCATGATTTCTCAACAATCCAAAGTTACGAAAGGGGCGGGGGAGAATAACCGAGAACGAATCATCGTGGAGTGCTAGCCGTAGTCATAAGCAATGTTCAACATCTTTGCCCTGTTCGCCGTGATTGCTTTGCTCGGATTAAAGAGAGCCCACTCTGACCTGGCGGAGAGTTGTAGGCCCCCGGAGTTCATCTCAGGAACACTGTGCGTTCTCCTGATCTGAGAACAAGGGGAACTGCTCGACATCACGGGAAGACGAAACCCTGGAGCTCAGGGGGCTGTGCACTGGAGACAAGCCTTCATAACCCCCGGCCCACATTCCCCAGCCCGCGGCACTGCCCCTTGCCGGTAAGCTGTAACTGTTTCACCCACTGTTGTGCCTTTTTGCCCACCTGCCCTCCCCCATGTAGCTACCGGATATAAGGACCGGCTATTGAATGAGGGTGGAGTGGATTTTGCAGGGATGACCTGCTGCTCTGCAGCACTGCCGGCGATTTTGGAATATATGCTCCTACAGTATATGATCCAACCTTGCCTCTGCTTACCCGGCTCAAGTAGTGACAGGAGGCCCGGACCCCTTCGCTGTGCGCTTTCAGTTACGTATTGTTTTCATATCACATGGAAGTTGTTACAGGCGTCTCAAAATTTAATTTCAGTTGGAATCGTATTGCAAATGTATAGTAGTTCTCAGACCCACTCCTTAGACCACTGCTGGATCACGTGATCAGTTTTCTTTACACAGACATGGGTGTGATGGAGTTGGCCATTGAGACAACTATATTTTAATTTTCAAAAATTTTTTAAAATATATATTTTTTCTTTATTGACTTTGAAGAGAGAAAGGGAGAAGGAGAGATAGAAACATCGATGAGAGACAACATCAATTGGCTGCCTCCTGCATGCCCCCCACTGGGGATGGGACCCACAACCTGGGCATGTGCCCTGACTGGGAATCGAACCGGCGACCTCTTGGTGCAGGGTCAACGCTCAACCACTGAGCCACACTGGCCAGGTCAAAAATATTTTGATAAAATATTTCAATATATTGATTTATTTGTAATCCTATATACTTTTAAAAATTCACTTTTAATATTTTAAATTTATTAAATGTTATGTGGATGTGTTGTTCCACTTCTTTATGCAGTCATTGGATGTGCCCTGCTGGGAACTAAGCCACCACCTTGGTGTACAGGGATGATGCTCTAACCAACTGAGCTACTCGGCCAGGGCTATTTACTTTTAAACAGTGTCCTTCCACAAAGTCTGTAGCAGAGGGCCAGAGGGCCAGGGAAGACTCGAACCCTTCATCGGGAGAGCGCCGCTGGGCGCCTCCCAGGCAGGGGGAGCTCTGCCGTCCAGCGGCCAGCAAAGCTGCTCTATCAGCTGCCCGTCTGCTGCCCAGGCAAACACACACCTGGAGAGATGCGGATGTGAGCACAAGCTCCATCTTCGTGAAACCCGGGGATTTCATGTCATTTTTGGTTTCGTGCTGTGACCTTTCACCAACCTCACTCCCTGTTCCTGGCAAGCATATCAAAGCCTTCCAGTGGATAACAGCTGTGCCCCTTAAAATGGAGCCATCAATATTTTTGTCAGGAAGGCATGACAACTGCAGACAGAGATCACCCTGGTGATAGCGTGGCTCGTACACGATCATGTATGCGCGACCACCGGAGGCATGGCCCGGGTGCTGCTGCAGGCTAGTGGCATGGCCCGGGTGCTGCTGCTGGTGCTGCTAGCTGTCTCCTCAGCTATCAGACCAGCTACAGGGCTCTAGAAGCCCAGTACCAAGGCTCCAGAGCAGAGAGCAAACCGCATCATCGCTGTCTGTGTTCCGCCCCCACCCCACTGCCCGCAAGGAAATCACCCTGTAATAAATGCTGCTGTCTTCCGTGGAGTCGCCTGCTCGTTTGTTGCCCTTAAGCCACCTCCTGGTTACAGCGGCCGTTCCGGCTGTGCTCCATCATTGGACAACATTGACAGCAGAAAGTTCCGGAAGACAATTCCCAGTAAACAGGCCCGGGGATCCGGTCGCTTGAAAGAGCCTCGCTCTGTACAACCGACATAAAGTATCAAGAGAGGAAATGTCACAGCCCCTCAGGAGCCTGCAGCACCCGCAGAGAGGAAGCTACATCACGGGGAGGGGGTGAGGACCCCACGAAGACATACGCATGACAAAGCGGATGGCAGAGGAAGGGGGGAGGGGGGAGGGGATGAGGAAGAGAAAGTGGGACAAAGAAACCGGGAAACACACAGCCCCCAGCAATGGGGATTTCACAGCCTGCAGACTGGGAAAAAAAAATTGGGAGGAGAAAAAGAAATTGTAAACAAAGGATAATGAAACTAAACAGGGGGAAAAAAAAAAAAAGGGCAGTGAATATTTTATTTTGTTGTATTTAAACAAGCAAGTTTGGGGTATTTCCCGGGGATCCTCCTGCCCCGTGTCCCCACTTCCCCATTTCTTTATGGTGCTGATCAACTGCTTTATTCCGTTTCCCATCCTTCTTCCTGTCCATTACCCAGGCCGTGCTCTCCTTCAGCGCGTGTCCTCGGTGCTCGTGTCTGGAGGACAGCAAGCTCTGCACGTGGGGGGCCACGCGGGCTCCGGCAGCGCGGACGGCAGCCCTGAGTTTTGATCCATGCGTTCGGCCCGGAGCTCCGACAGTCCTGCCTGGGCAGGCGCTCACCCTCCCAGAACGAAACCGGTTCAAGACGCCTCGTGTCAGAGAGGTGCAGGCTCATCAGTGGGAAACACCATATAAACAGTGAAAAAAAATCACCTTTTCAAGTTGTTGGATTTTCTCCTTCATGGTCTTCAAAAAAGCAACTAGAAACTTTTCATAAACACAAGCACACCTATCCAGCAGTACTTGGAGTGTAGTATTATCGGTGTAATGCTTCTCAAAAACATTACTTCGAGCCAGGGATGGTCTCAGATACGCTGAGGACCATCGCTCCATCTCTGCAAGTCACCTCCAGAGTGTGGTTTCTTTACTCATTTCTCAAAAACAAGAGTTTGTTTGCTAAGGGCAGGCATCCCACGAAGACGTTACACACATTTATAAAAGTGGAATATGAGAAGTATGATACACTAGTACAAAGTTTTACAAATTAATACAAGTACAATATATAAATTACAATGACACAGAGAGAGAGCGCGGTCCTGCCTCGGGGTGGCTCCTTTAACAGTCATATTGCTGCAACGAGAACGAAATATGCATCAGGTTACAAACAGGCTCAAGCAACAACGATGGCATTTCAGCCTTAGAGTCCCTGTCGTGAGCGAGCGCGAAGCCCCCTGATCTCAGCTTCCCACGGCTGTGGCCAACGGGACCGAGAGCGCAGACAATGCTCGCTCGCAGGATGTTCCCTAAACAAACAGGACAGGCCCGCTGTCCTCTCCGGGTCAAAGCTGCAGAGGGGCCGTGGAAACTGTCGCTTCCAGGGCTCCGCGGGCTTTGAACGTGCTGGGTCGGTTTTTAATCTTCGGGATTTCAGAGAGAATGCCCGGAGAATGTCTCGCAGGAGTGGGCTCCGTGTGGGTAACCTTTCTAATGAAACGCTACCGAGGGCCACAGCGGACTCATCCTCGCTTGAACCTTGCCCTTTAAAAGTCGCTTTTGTCTCATAAGCAAAGCTGGCTGGGTCAGGAAGCCCCTCACTCCGACTGTGACTCAGATGTAAACCCGGGGGACAGTTTGCTGCCTCCCAGGGGAGGATGTCACTCTGCTAAAACACTACAGTGACTTTGGTCATTGCCATATTACGCCTGTCCCCAAAATGCACGAGAGCTGAAGTCCAGAGGGGCCTCGCCGAATCTAAACTCGGCCCCTGTGGAGCTCAAGGCCACGGGGAGGTTACTGCTACAATCCAGAGAGGGCCCCTCTCCCCTGTCCCAAACCACTGGCCGGAAACGGCTCCGCGGTGGAGGCTCCCACTCCTTTGTTTTCTCGGGGATTTGGCGAGCTCCCAAGGAAATTATTAATCTTGCTGTACTGGCCTGATAAGAAAAACTCGATTTTTATTTTAACTTCCCCTGAAAAATTATAGAAAGTTTCCATTTATTCACAGAAAACTTTTTTATGGTAACAATGGGCTTTCAGGGTTCCTTGGGTTTTGTCTTATTTTAAAAGTTAGGCAATCTTGAACCAGAGAAGTACATGGTTAGAAAAATATAAATTAAATAAATTTCTGTTTACCTAAACCGACCCAGCACGTTCAAAGCCCGCTGAGCCCGGTAAGTCATAAAACAACACTGCCCCCCCCCCCCCCTCGCCAAACTGGACCAAGGCTGAATTCCCATCAGTTCAATACTATATAATTTTTAAGAGGCTATAGAAACAAGACCATTCCCTGCTGCTAAGAAATGCATATTTTTCTCCAGAATTCTATCCCCAGGAAACAACTGCTTCCTGGTTCTCTTTCACAATGAAAGGCTTTTCATGAGCTGTTTTGAAAGGTTTCTAGTGACTGCCTGTGCTTCGCTGTTTGGGCTTCGTATGACTCCTTATTAGGAAGGAACTGTAGAAAGCCCAACAGAACGGCAAGTGTTGCATATAGGTTAAGACCAGGTGCTACGGCCATAAAGTGACCCGGGGTCAAGGCCTGTTACTTCCTGACTAGGGGATTTTAGGCATATTGCTTAATCTCTGAGTCACAGTCGCTCCTGAAATAAGGGTAATTTAGCACAACGCCTGGTACCATGACTGTTGCCTATTTCTTGTGAAAACCAGGTGGGAACACGAGGGGAGCAGAGAGAGGACATGTCCTCCGTGCCTGCAGCCACAGCAGCGGGCTCGCGCCTGGACAGGGCACTCTGTCTGTGGGTGGCATTTTTTCACACCCACAGAGGCAACTACGCAGAACCGAGGTAACAAAGTGACAGTGACATTCAAGAAAACTTATGATTGAGAGGAACACTGGACACTGCACATGCTTTGTCGCAAAGACAGGGCAGGAATACGTGCTGGGAGGCTGAGTGTTGCCTTTCCTCTCTGTTGTGGTGCACTGGGGTCATGGCACACACCAGGGCCAGGCTGCCAGGTCCTCGGCAGGTTCCTACCTGGTGGTGAGTGCAGCAGTAGCCACACATGCCGCCGAGCATCCCGTTGATGACTTGGACGAGACACAAGACGAATTCAAGTCCACTGAGAGCCAAGAGGATGGAGAACAGGGAGACGTTCCACTCCACGGCATGCTTGGGCTCGATGCACTCGGACCAGGTGGATCTATCCAGGAGGTACCTGTGGAAAAAAAGAGGAACTTCTGACACGTGACCACGCCTGAGGGGATGTCTCATAAGCCACAGTTTGTGGGCTGTTTCTTCATTCAGAAAAAGAGGAATGAGTTAATTCAGTGACCTATCTCAAATTCTTCCGATCCATGTCATGCCACAAAACGACAATGTAGCCCGTGTCTTGTTGCCATGAGAAACAGAAAATTCAGCAGAGAGTATTGAGGACTCTGTGTGAGTGACATTGAGCCAGGGCTGGAAAAGCACAGCTTAAGGGAACCGACAATAGGCCGTCCCAGGCCAACAGGGGTAGCAATTAGGTAAACCAAGGGTGAAAGGACCCAACCTAGGCCAGGTAGAAGGCCTTCTTATGTCATTTTCCCACAAGTCTGAGCTTCATGAAGGTAGAAGTCAGACCTTCCCTCACTGTGCACCCAGCCCCTACACCACTATCTGGAACATGGAAGGTTCTCAACACATTTTGAAAGTAATTGAATGACACATGAAAATCCCAAGTCACCACGAGAAAGGTTAGGGAATAATGTTGAGGTCATATCCGAATACATATATAATCTTAGGAGGCTTTCTAAATACTTGGCTATTCTTACCGTCTGAAACATTCTCTCGTTCCTGTCCTAGCATTTTGACCTTCGCTACATCATAGAGGATTTGAATCCCGTGGGATTTAATTATGTGGGAAAATCTAGGACTGACTTAATTCCACGAAGAGGTCTGGTGTGATTCTTCCCTTTTCACTTCTTCCTACCACAGCAGAACGAAGGGGCTGGGAATCAGAGACCGAACTTTGGAATGGTTCACTGAGCCCATCAGAAAGTCAACTTGTTGATGACAAAAAATGCTGTCCTTCTGGCCGTGTTTCTGCATGTCACTGAGACAAAAGCCTCTAATTTCAAGACAAAAAGTAAAAACAGTTCTTTGGCTCCACTTGGCTATTGAGCAACTAATCAGTGGGTTGCGGCCATCAGTTCTTCCCCACGTGGTGCAATGCCTGGACAGGTTGGATGAAGGATGACACAGAAGCAGAAGATTTCTTGTAGAGCTGAGGTGGCTCATGGGAGGGGCATACAATCAAGCAGCCATAAAAAACCTCTCCTGGTATCCCAGCTCCCGGGGTCACAGCTTTTTTTAAAAAATGGGTTTTTGTAGTAGTGTTGTATGTCTGTGCATACATGAATAACCAATGTGCACTAGTATATTCACTACGTACCGAACCCCCCCGCCAAAAAAAATCATTTTGAACACCAAAATTTTGACCTCCTGCAAGTGCTAATTTTCCTTCATTGTGAGCCAGCAGACAATATTAAGAGCTGACAGTGCGGCAGCTTCTGGGACAACTTCTGTACACATGGCATCTCACTGACAACTGCCTTTACCTTTATTTTCCAGATGAAACAATTAAAACACAGAGCTCGGTTCACTTTTTCCTGCCCACTTAGAGACTAAATGCAGAGTTGGGATCAAACTCAGGTTTATTGAATTCCATGCTCAACCTTCTGACCTTACTATATGCTGCACAGTTCATGGGGAGAAACGGTCTTCACAATATCAAGGCAATTAAAATGCATTATTCATATTCTTTTTACTCGTGTATCTCTAAACCTTTCAAAAGTCAAAGAAGGATGTCATTCATTCGTTGTAACGTGCATCAGTTTCCATCACCTGTGTCTGTTCTTTTCTCGATGACAGATGAGAAATGAGTATCAACATAAAACAATGGAACATCTTAACTTATCCTGATGTCAAAATTGTGAATAAGACCTATCTTCTGAAGTTTGATCACTTTAAATAAGGGTGCACTGTACATAGTTATTGTGTTCTATGTGAGTGTGTGTGTGTGCGTGTGTGTGCGTGGAAACCAATTCGCATGGTTTCCATCCACACAAGGATTCCACAATACTTTCTTATAAAATAGTAGAACTATCCAATTGTCCTGAAATTGTGTGCATACTAAGCATGAACGCAAACTCTGCAGCAAGGCTGCTTGGGTTCAAATCCTGACTGCATGTCCTAGCACAGTGACTTTGGTTACATTACCTCATCTCTCTGTATCTTTGTTTCCTCATCTTTAAAATGGGAGCAATAGTGGAAGTCACCTCCTGGGCAATCATGAGGACCGCCTCAGTGCATCCATTAAAAAGTCTCAGAGCTTGCCCGGCGGTGTGGCTCACTGGTTGAGCATCGACCCTGCACCAAGAGGTCCCCGGTTCGATTCCCGGTCAGGGCACATGTTCAGGTTGTGGGCCTGATCCCCAGTGGGGGACATGCAGGAGGCGGCCAATCGACGTTCTCTCTCATTGATGTTTCTATCTCTCTCCTCCCTTCCTCTTTCTCTAAAAATCATAAAAGAAAAAAAAAATGTTTTAGGTCTTAGAGCTTGTCCAGGTCAGGGACTGAGCATCAACCCTGGTACACGCTAATCCATGGCTGAGTCAGTGCCAACAAACCTGGCTGAGCGGGTGGACGATGGATCAACGATGCCTTCGTAGGGTGATGGGTTTGCCACGCTACACCTGTGGCGGATGAGAACGTGTGGCTGTTAAGGGTCAAGTACTCACTGTCCTCCTGTGTCGAGAAAGGTATAGTTCCACTGGTTGGAGGAGTCAAGACACAGTGGTCCGGTCGCTAAGCCCAGTGCTGCCCCGATGGCGCAGTAGCCAGACCCTACGATTCCAATGAGAGCGGCCAGCACGGAAGAAAGCATCTAGGGGGAGGAGAAACACCGGAAGTGAGCCACCAGGTGTCCGGGGTGGGGGGGACTAGAAACGAATTTCACCGCCCGTAGAAACGGATTTCGCGCGAGCGGAGGACCTACCGCGCATCTCTTGCCGCAGTTGTCCCGGCCCCACTCATCCTGCTCCAGGGCGATGAAGACGAAGGCGGGCAGGAATATCTGGTCGGAAAACAGCAGATGAAAGCCAGGCTAGCCCCCCGTCCACACGGCAGGTTAATCGCTTTGGGTTACACTGATCAAGTATCTCAAACGACGGGACATTTTGAAGAGGAAAAGAAATAATCCTTTATCTGCAATATCTACTTGCTTTGGGGCAAGGCGTCAAGCATCCTTCAGGGTGAGGGTGTGGTGTGAGGGGACTAAAATAATAACCTGGGAACATGTGTATTTCACACGGGGCCCTAACATTGTTCCAGTTGAACTGCTGGTTTGGGGGCGTGTGTTTTCCACTGCTGTTTCGGAACTAGTAAACCTGATCTTTAAATCTGACTTGTTTTTGGTTTGTTTTGTTTTTCATTGTAAATTATAGAAGATCCCAACAGTCTTTAACAGAATAACTGAAACCCATTGTTTTGGTAACCGGGCGATGAAAGCGGTGTTATAATAAGAGCAAACTGCCTCTTTGATGGTAAGAGTGTATGCTTGTCGCTTTATAACAAATCTCTTCAAGTCTGAAATACTTAGAGTTTGAGATCCAAAGAAGCTAAAACAAGTGCAATGTCATTTAAGGACAAATGATTATGTGCGCGTGATAGCGATGCTTACATTCAAAGCAGACTATCAAACCATAATTAGTCTATCAAAGTTTAAATGTTTCCATATCCTTTGTCTGACTAAGAAGACTGTTTTGTCTAGTATTAGCAATTCCATGAAACTTCTCTTTAACATTCTCAATCCCAGCACGTGAAAGTAGCAAACTCAAGTTTGTACACATTCTTTCCATGCTGTGGTTAAAGCGAATGTTTTTGGCTCCAAAACTGGCAGGGGAATTCCTCTCACTTCAATTAAAAATAAACCTTGGAAAAAACAACACATTCCACTAGGAGCTTCAGACAGTGATCGTCTGCTAACTGCAAGGTTTTTCCTACACACCACACCCCAGGATTATATAAAAGAGAACATTTGTATTTCTTTCTAAATAGCAATGCGCTCACAATTTTTTTTTTCTTCCTGTCATAAATGCCTGAGAACAAACAGCGGAGATTTTGGGTCCCAAATGCTGTTGATTTAGACAGAACAGCAGCCGACTCCTCCCTGTTCCCCGGGGCAAACACCATCCAGCACTGCCGGTTTCAGGACCAGAAACTCGCCTCTCCAATCTGATTTAGCAGCTAGTCTCTGTTTCTAGTTGTAAAGTAAGAGAGCTTAGCACACAGATCGTTGGCTTTCAGTTGAAAGAGGGTTTTGTAAAACAACATCCAGTGAAATTAGTACTTTTGACTTATCTCAACTCTTGCATAATCTGTTTTCTAAGGAAGAATGAACAAAAATCACTGGATTTGGAAACGGACACTCTAGAAAAGTTGGCGTGAAAACGCAAGAAAGCATCACACGTAGCAGGAGAGGATTTCTGCAGGCTGTAGTCGTTTTGAACAACTTACCAGGAATCCCCCTCCCACGACGCCAGAGAAGAACCACACGAACTTGCTGAGGTGGCCCTCCCGGGCATACTTGGTTTCCCCGTTGGGAAAGTAAAGCAGGATGTTGGCCACGATGCAGAGGATAGCCAGGGGCACCAGGGATTGTCCGATGCATCGCGCGCACTTGCCGTAGCACATGGTGGCCGGGAGTCTGCGGTGACACTTCTCCCTCCGCTCTGCCGCTCAGCGACGGCCCAAACCAGACGAGAGTGTGCCTGTCCGCACAGAAAGCAAAAGCTGGTGTTCAGCCCATTCTTGCAACGTCTTAAATACCCTGAGTTCTTAGTCACCGGGTGGATGAAGTGCTGTGCTTTCATTGGTCCTGGCTGCAGACTGCCGCTGGGGAGGGGGGAGGGGGGAGGACGGTCCCGCCCTTAGAATCCTTGGGACCAGGGAGACCAGGGGCAGGATGTGAGAAACAGTCACAGGCAGGAGAGAAAATGATTAGTCCTCCACAAAGAATGAACCGAGCAAGTCCCTTCCCAGATACAGAATCAACAGGAAAGTCTAGTGCAGCCCCCCGGTAACTACCGAGTGTGAGTGTCTGCACTGGGCCCGCCCTGCTGGAGGCTGTAGAAGCCCTGGGCTGTGGTCTGCTCCGCGCAGCTGCCTGGCCGGCTTCCCTGTGAGCTCTGGGCTCACTGCCGCCCCTGCACGGATGGAGTGCCAGCCCGGACGGCTCCTGAGCTCTGGGCACCTTTCCTGGTCTGTGAAAGGCAAGGAGTCCCGCCACCGCCCACGGTCGGAGGAAGCTGCAGAGCGGCCTGCTCTGCTCTGCTCTGCTCTGCCCAGGGCAGCTCTGCAGGCTGCCCGACCGTCCAGCCTTCCTGGGGAGCGGCCCCTGGGACAAGCCTGGCCCCGAAACAGAGGTGCCATTAGTCAACACAAAGGGCTCAGGCACCTTTTCATCCCTGAGTAATCCTGTGGGGCAGAGTGAAGCCAGGGAGGTCTATGTGGGAAGGGTAGAAAGGAGAAAGAAAAAGAACGAAGACGCCTTGTCCAGTGTGGCTCAGTGGATTGGGTGTCCTCCCGTGCACCAAAGGTTGCTGGTTTGATTCCGGGTCAGGGCACATGCCTGGGTTGTGGGCTCAATCCCCAGTAGGGGGCGTGCAGGAGGCAGCCAATCAATGTTTCTTTCTCACATTGATGTATCTCCCCCCCACACACACCACACACACACACACACATATTTTTTTAAAAAGAAAGGAACAGAAGAGAAAGAGATTGGCAAACAGACTGGGACACAAGACTGATGACTAGAGTCACAGTCATTGTTGGGGGTGGGGCGTGGGAACTGTGGTCTCCCCAGCCAGACTCTGAGTCGGATTGTCCCATAAAGGGCCTTCTGATGGGGTTATCTTGAAGAAGGAGAGGTCCAACTCTGATCTGTTTAGCCCTCGACTTGCAGGTTGGGCCAGCCAGCAGGTGGGGAGAGGACAGGGTGGCCAGAAGGGCCAGGACTGGGGCTTCCTCGTCCCCAGAACAGAACGGCATGGACAGGAAAAGGCCAAAGGCCAAGAAGGTGAGTTCTTAATTCAGACAAGAAAGGGGAGTGGAGTTAGTGAATTCGGACACTCAGGCTGAGCCAGAGTCTGAAGCATTTGGGCCCAAACGAGAGGGCAGGACACATACTAAATGCGAGGAGCCAGCCGGGGTCAGTGACCGGGGGTCCGGACTGGGAGGAGGACTCAAGAGGAGGCGTGGCCGGATCATGCTAGCTCAGGTGAGGCCATGACCCCGACTGGCCCGAGGAGACAGGTGAGTGGGGCAGAGAAGCCGGCGCCCTCTGTCCTGGCGGAAGTCCTGCAGCGGGCAGGGTCCCGCAGGCGCAGGGCCGGGGGTGGCGATGCAGGTGACTGACTGGGCGCCCTCATTTTAACCCTCCTCTCTGCCATCGGTCCCGCCTGGGGCCAGATGCTTTGATGACCCCCCCCCCCAATCAAAGCTTAACCCCCTTCCTACTTCTCCTGCAGTGAGCAGGGAGGGAGAAGAGAGTGAGGGAGGAGCTTGGAGAGACAGGCCATCTCTGCTGCGTCCAGCTGTGTGGATCAGGCCAGTCACTTACCTTCCTGGACTTTTTTTAAAAAATTTTTTATTAATTTATTTTTGTTACAGATGTTTCTCCTTTTTTTCCCCATTGACACCCTCCTCCCCATCCCCCCCCAGCTTTGTTGTCCGTGTCCATCGGTTATGCATACATGCATATAAGTTCTCTGGTTTATCTCTTCCCTCGTCCCACCACCCCTTCTTCTGAGGGTTGTCAGTCTGTACCCTACTTCCACGTCTCTGGGTCTACCCAATTCCTCAGACTATTATGTTCATTATCTTCCACACGTAAGTGAGATCATGTGGTATTTGTCTTTCTCTGCTTGGCTTGTTTCGCTTAGGATAATACTTTCCAGGTCCCTCCACGTCATCTCAAAGGATAGAGATCTTTCTTTCTTACAGCTGCATAGTACTCCATTGTGTATATGTACCACTGCTTTTTAATCCACTCATCTACTGATGGACACTTGGGCTGTTTCCAGATCTTAGCTATTGTAAATAGTGCTGCTATGAACATAGGGGTACATATATTCTTTCTGATGGGTGTTTCAGGCTTCTTAGGGTATATTCCTAGAAGTGGGATCACTGGATCAAATGGCAATTCAATTTTTAATTTTTTCAGGTAACACCACAGTGTTTTCCATAGTGGCTGCCCCAGTCTGCATTCCCACCAGCAGTGCACTAGAGTCCCCTTTTCTCCACACCCTCGTCAGCACTTGTTGTTTGATGATTTGTTGATGGCACCCATTCTGACAGGTGTGAGGTGATACCTCATTGTTGTTTTAATTTGCATCTCTCTGATGATTAGTGATGTTGAGCATTTCTTCATATGTCTCTTGGCCATTTGTATGTCCTGTTTGGAGAGGTGTCTATTTAGCTTCTCTGCCCATTTCTTAATTGGGTTCTTGGACTTTTTCATAGTCTGCAAGACAAGGGGCAGGACTAGATCAGTGGTTCTTAAGTTGTCGAGAGTCTTGTCGTGATTTGGATCCTCTCCCCAGGAAAAGAAATGTACCAACACACACACTTTTCATTCATTCCATTCCGAGAAGCTCACCACCTTCCTGAAGCTGAATAGTGGCTTCTTGTCCGCACTTCTCAAGGTGTGGCCTGGAGACCACCTGTAGCGCACTCCTGGGCCATCAGGACATAATGAACGGGAGTCCCGGGGAGTGAGGCCCAGGCATCTGCACTTTTTTACAAATGAGTCTTATGTTTGCTCCGGTTTGGAGATCACTGACCTCGTCCCCAGCACAGGGAGGTATCATCCGGCTTGACCTGAATTCTCTTGCAATGTAAAGGTCCCTCTCCTTTGCCCACCATTCTGGTATTCTAGGTGGTACTTTCTGCTTCTACCCTCATCTGGTCACTCAAAGAAGGGTCTTTTCTGATTTGGGCTCCTGGATTAAAGCCAGATACGGCCCAGCTGATGTGGCTCCGTGGCTGAGTGTCCGCCCATGGACCAAAAGGTCACGCATTCGATTCTCAGTCAGGGCACATGCCCGGGTTGCTGGCTCGATCCCCAGTGGGGGGCGTGCAGGAGGCGGCGATGGATGTTTCTCTTTCACGGATGTTTCAATCTCTCTCCCTCTGACTCCTGTCTCTCCAAAAGTCAATAAAAATATATTTTTTAAAAATAGCTAAAAACCAGATATGGTTTTCTGGACAATTTCTTTAACCACTTGGCCCTGGTACCACCCAGACTTTGCCCCGTGGATGACCCTGGCCTGTGAACTCAGTGTCCCTGCAGAGCTGGGCTCTCTCCACTCTCCAGCTCCACTCGTCCCCTCCCCCACCTCTGCCGCCCTGTCTTCCGTGTCCGGAGCCTCATTTCTGCAGCTTCGGCTGCAGGAACCAGCTCACCCAGCGCCTTGGGCCCTCTCCCAGGACCCCACTCACAGTGCTCTGCACCCCCGGTTACTCTCCATCACGGGCCCCTGTTCTAACAGCATCGAGCACTTTTCACCCCTGAATTATCCTGTTCGCTTATTTTCATCCCTTCCCTGTGAACGCAGGGCCCCTCTGCCTTGTCCACCATTATTTCCGCAGCGCTTAAACTGATGCCTGGCACATAGTAGGTGATCACTAAAGATTTGTACAATAGTTGAGTGAATAAATAAGTGAATCAACGATTCTCTAAAGCCAATTGTTACCAGGCTGATGTTTCAGTCTCTCCACCATTGTTCTATGACCCCTCTCTCTGAGCTCACAGCCTCAGTCCCTGACCCCTCCCTCTGAGCTCACAGCCTCAGTTCCCTGACCCCTCCCTCTGAGCTCACAGCCTCAGTCCCTGACCCCTCCCTCTGAGCTCACAGCCTCAGTTCCCTGACCCCTCTCTCTGAGCTCACAGCCTCAGGTCCCTGATCCCTCCCTCTGAGCTCACAGCCTCAGGTCCCTGACCCCTCTCTCTGAGCTCTTGGCCTCAGTAGAAGCCCTCTTTGTTGTCACACCATCGCTCTCAGGCCCGGCCCCTCCCTGGCTGTTTGGTTTGGGACAACTTATAAAGCATCCTGTACCTCAGTTCTTATCATTCGTTCATTCACCAATATTTAATGAGCTCCTACTATGTTTTCCAAGTGTTGGGGATACAAACAAAACACACAAGTATCTCTGCCCTTAAAGAGAGTCAATTTTAGCAGAAGGAGACAAATAAAACATAATAGTAAATAAGTCAAACCCATGGTGTATGAGATGGTAAGTGCAGGGAGGGGCTGGTCAGGGAGTTGTGATGACCGAGTGAGTCGGCAGGTGCAAAGCTCGGAGCACCTGACACCCAGCACTCGCTCAGTACATGTTACTCATCATTTCTTACTGTTTTTACAACCCAGCCTCCCAGTTAAGATGTCTCTCCTCCATTTATAACTCATGTTATCTTCTCCTCGGGATTCCATAGCTCCAGCACACACTGTATACTTTGATTATCTTTTGTGACTAATTGTTAAATACTGGAGTCTCCACCGTCGTATTAAAAGCTCATTGTTATCTCCCTCGCTCCCTCTGAGTCAGCCTCAATCCATGAAGCCTTTGCAAGGAGTGGATTGGCTTCATCGCAGAACTGGGTGCTGCTTCTGACGCCCACACGGCAGATACGGGGTCCCATTGCCCCGTTCTTCCTTCCTGCCCCCTGTGTTCCCGTGACTGAAATCCCCAGTTTGTTCAGGACACCTGGCTTCTCACCTTTGTCTCCCCCACAACCTGCCTGTGGCCCCCTCTCCTGGA